TGTTCTGCAGATATAGATGCCACTGGTTCTTCACGTTCTGCAGATGTAGATGCCACTGGTTCTTCACGTTCTGCGGATGTAGATGCCACTGGTTCTTAACGTTCTGCAGATGTAGATGCTACTGTTCTTCATGTTCTGCAGATGTAGATGCCACTGGTTCTTCACGTTCTGCAGATGTAGATGCCACTGGTTGTTCACGTTATATAGATGTAGATGCCACTGGTTCTTCACGTTCTGCAGATGCCACTGGTTTTTCACGTTCTGCAGATGTAGATGCCACTGGTTCTTCACGTTCTGCAGATGTAGATGCCACTGGTTCTTCACGTTCTGCAGATGTAGATGCCACTGGTTGTTCACGTTCTACAGATGTAGATGCCACTGGTTGTTCACGTTCTACAGATGTAGATGCCACCTCCTCCATCCATTGCGTGGCGGATGATCTTACGACTCTCGGTCCAAACGGGCGACTTGACATACGGACAGGATTGGTCGCGTCTCTGAATGTTCGTAAGTAGAGGAGTCCCTGTCTACATATATATTGACCGTTACAAATGGATGTGTTCCAATTGTTATTCGAATGTTTCCGAGCCAATTGCTTAACATTGTCACGCGTTATTCGCGGTGTGTTTACTCGCCTCCCTAAGCTTGCTGGAAAGTGCTAAGCCAATTCTTTACTGCTTGTTTTGTATGCACGTGCGTGTGCTTTTGTGTTGAACTTCTTTCGCACCGTACGTAGCCAACCGCGCTAATGGGAGGTGTTGAGTCTATGGGCAGTGTTGAGTCTGTGGTGCAGTGTAGAATCTACGGGCAGAGTTGAGTCTATGGTGCAGTGTTGAGTCTATGGGTAGTGTTGAATCTATGGGCAGTGTTGAGTCTATGGTGCAGTTTTGAGTCTATGGTGCAGTGTTGCGTCTATGGGCAGTGTTGAGTCTATGGGCAGGGTTGAGTCTATGGTGCAGTGTTGAGTCTATGGGCAGTGTTGAGTCTATGGGCAGTGTTGAGTCTATGGGCAGTGTAGAGTCTATGGGCAGTGTTGAGTCTATGGGCAGTGTTGAGTCTATGGGGAGTGTTGAGTCTATTGGCAGTGTTGAGTCTATGGTGCAGTGTTGAGTCTATGGGGAGTGTTGAGTCTATGGGCAGTGTTGAGTCTATGGGCAGTGTTGAGTCTATGGTCAGTGTTAGTCTATGGGCAGTGTTAAGTCTATGGTGCAGTTTTGAGTCTATGGTGCAGTGTTGCGTCTATGGGCAGTGTTGAGTCTATGGGCAGGGTTGAGTCTATGGTGCAGTGTTGAGTCTATGGGCAGTGTTGAGTCTATGGGCAGTGTTGAGTCTATGGGCAGTGTAGAGTCTATGGGCAGTGTTGAGTCTATGGGCAGTGTTGAGTCTATGGGCAGTGTTGAGTCTATGGGGAGTATTGAATCTATGGGCAGTGTTGAGTCTATGGTGCAGTGTTGAGTCTATGGGGAGTGTTGAGTCTATGGGCAGTGTTGAGTCTATGGGCAGTGTTGAGTCTATGGTCAGTGTTAGTCTATGGGCAGTGTTAGTCTATGGGCAGTGTTGAGTCTATGGGCAGTGTTGAGTCTAATGCAGTATTGAGTCTATGGGCAGTGTTGAGTCTATGGGCAGTGTTGAGTCTATGGGCAGTGTTGAGTCTATAGTGCAGTGTTGAGTCTATGGGCAGTGTTGAGTCTATGGTGCAGTGTTGAGTCTATGGGCAGTGTTGAGTCTATGGGCAGTGTTGAGTCTATGGGCAGTATTGAGTCTATGGGCAGTGTTGAGTCTATGGGCAGTGTTGAGTTTATGGGCAGTGTTGAGTCTATGGGCAGTGTTGAGTCTATGGGCAGTGTTGAGTCTATGGGCAGTGTTGAGTCTATGGGCAGTGTTGAGTCTATGGGCAGTGTTGAGTCTATGGTGCAGTGTTGAGTCTATGGGCAGTGTTGAGTCTATGGGCAGTGTTGAGTCTATGGGCAGTGTTGAGTCTATGGGCAGTGTTGAGTCTATGGGCAGTGTTGAGTCTATGGGCAGTGTTGAGTCTATAGTGCAGTGTTGAGTCTATGGGCAGTGTTGAGTCTATGGTGCAGTGTTGAGTCTATGGGCAGTATGTATGAATGTTGAACTTCTTTCGCACCGTACGTAGCCCACCGCGCCAATCGGAGGTGCGACTTGACAAGTGGTTTTATTCGCCAACCTTCACCGCGGTAATGCGTCAAGTACTAAAATTGACGGTCTGTGTATATACCGCGACATTCACTTCTAAAGGCAACAAAATCACAACAAAAAACAACAAAGCTACAGCTACAGTCAAAAAACAAAACACAGCAACCAAAAAAAAAACGCCCACAAAGCTGTCAGCGCTGACGGTATCTACAATAAGTTTAAGCACGTAGGATTTCGCGACACATCCATGATATTGCTTGGGTTACATCGCGTCGTGCTGCTAGGAAGCGAATCATCAAACAATGCATCGTTTAAATGCACGCCGATACGGGTCACCACACATCAATGGGACTTACCTGTACGCAGGCAACGACCGGTACCGCTATATTGTTGCACGCAAACGACACGGGGTACAGGAATAATGTGCGCGCAATAATGCCCGCGCGTTATATACGTTTCTTACCACGTTAATAACCCGACCGCCAACGGATACCCAGTAGATTTAAAGCTTTCGTGACTGCTAGGATCCATACTCTTTGGTTCTATTGGGTAAAGTCACGTAGGTGAAAGTAAAATAACAAAAAAAATCACGACGTTTCGGCCACAACACAAGCGGCCTTCATCAGGTGAAGGGACGAGACTGTCTGGAGGACAGCGCTGGAGTGGAAGAAGCCACGCTTAGATCACGACCTTTAAGCTGTGTGAGAAGAAAAAGACCAGGCGCCTTGACAAAGGAATTAGCATATAATTTAGCATTGAAATGGCTCATTGAAATAGCTAAGTTAAAGTGTACACATCCGCAGAGGTACCCCTTGACAAAGGAATTAGCGCTCGAGTGGAAGAAGCCACGCTTAGATCACGACCTTTAAGCTGTGTGAGAAGAAAAAGGCCAAGTGCCACTCCAGCGCTGTCCTCCAGACAACAGTCTCGTCCCTTCACCTGATGAAGGCCGCTTGTGTTGTGGCCGAAACGTCGTGATTTTTAGTTTTTTTTTATTTTCACCTACGTGACTTTACCCAATAGAACCAAAGAGTATGGATACCCAGTAATTTGTAAGCGTTCGTTAACCGCCTCCACCCACCCCACTTCGCACGTGATGGGCTCACGAGTGACGTCATCACACCTATCCCTCCGTCTATTTAAAGAACGAAGCCGGAAGAGGCTGTCACCTGATCATGCCTGTTGTGATTACTGGCGAAACGTCGTACTCAGTTCGACACGCGAGAAGGCTTTCGCGACCAATATCATCCGTGATAGAGGTTTTTTTGGGGGGTTAGAGGAGTGATATATATATGAATATCGCCTGATGAAGCTAGTTGTGATTACTGGCGAAACGTCGTACTCAGATTGTGAATGTTGTGGATTTGCTCTCCAACACGCCGGTGTGCTGTACTAGTACACTATGCACTACACCACTACACTATACACTACACTATACACTACACCACTACACTATACTATACACTATACTATACACTATACACTACACTATACACTATACTATACACTATACTATACACTACACTATACTATACACTATAGTATACACTATACTATACACTACAATATACACTACACTACTATACACTACACTATACACTACTATACACTATACTATACTACTATACACTATACCATACACTTACTATACACTACACTACCACAGTATACACTAGTGCTGTACTAGTACACTATACACTACACTATACACTACACTACTACAGTATACACTAGTGCTGTACTAGTACACTATACACTACACTATACACTACACTATACACTTTACTATACACGGCACTATACACTACACTACTACAGTATACACTAGTGTTGTACTAGTATACTACACTATACACTACACTATACACTACACTATACACTACACTATACTCTACACTATACACTAGTGCTGTACTCGTAACGAATTGGCCACGTTCTGTTTACGTGACAACAAACCTTCACTAGTTGGCTGTGTCGGGCGGTGGTCGCTTTAGCGACACATTAATATATTTACGCGATTTAACCCTCCAAAAAAACCCCCTGCATCATGAATAATGGACTCGTAGAGTGATTAGCGAGTAGCGGCACCTATAAAGGCCGCAACAGCACACGAGGGGGTGTGGGTGGCCAGCACCGCGCCCGACCGCCTTTGTCTCCCCCAGCGGCGATGTTCACTAGGTACTCATTTGAGGCTGAGTCGACCTAGGGGGAGGCCCAGGACCGGTGCAGATAATCTGCTACTGGTGTTGGTGGCCGTGAGCGGGAATCGAACTCGGGTGGCCGGGGTCCGTAGTGCAGCGTGGCGCTAACCGCTACACCACCGCCTCCCCAGACCACAATAACTGCAATGTCACATTCATGTTGGTGAGGCCAGATAACCCCGTCAGGAGACAGCGGAGTGTACTGCTGTGATGTCGCTATTAGTCTATGCATCTCTATGGGTCTCTATGAGTCTATGGGTATCTGTGGGCGCCTATGAGTGCCTGTTGTTCTTCATTAGTCTGGATCTCTGTGGGTATCTCTGAGTCTCTGAGTCTGGATCTCTGTGGGTCATCTATGCGTCTCTGTGAGTCTTTATTAGTCTGGATCTCTGGGTATCTATGAGTCTCTGTGAATCTCTATGAGTCTGGATCTCTATGGGTATCTATGAGTCTCTGAGTCTGGATCTCTATGGGTGTCTATGAGTCTCTGTGAGTCTCTATGAATCTGGATCTCTATGGGTATGTGTCTCTGTGAGTCTCTGAGTCTGGATGTCTATGGGTATCTATGAGTCTCTGTGAGTCTCTATGAATCTGGATCTCTATGGTGTATCTATGAGTCTCTGTGAGTCTCTATGAATCTAGATCTCTATGGGTATCTGCGTGTCTCTGTGAGTCTCTATTAGTCTGGATCTCTATGGGTATCTATGAATCTCTGTGAGTCTCTATTAGTCTGGATCTCTATGGGTCTCTATGAGTCTTCTTCTTCTGTCGTACGACTGCTGATGTAGAGGCAGCAGCTTACAAAGTCACATTCAGGCGGTGAAGCCAGCAGACAATCGCGTCAGGAGCCAGCGGAGTAGCAATGGGAAGACAAAGGCGGCCAGGGAGGCGTTGCCATACCGCCGTGCCGGCCTTCATGGGTGCTACGAACTCGCTCGGAGCACTTGCCCCAAACGGCTGCTGAGGCTACACAGGGCACCTTTGTCTTTGGAGGCTCGTGAAGGACGCTGCTGCTGGACAGTTGGGAGGCAGTCGCTCCTCCCTGCAACAAGCTGGAGGAGCGACGCTCACAACAACGAGCGGAGCGCCGGGTGGCTAAAGCGCAGCGAGTTGGCACAGTAGGGTTTGGATACAGGTGGGTGCGCCTGCCAGTGACCCCATGGCATCCGGGCATGCCCCGCGACCTCCTGCGCCCAGCCTGGGGGGCACACAGCAGTCGACGCGTGGCGCCATGGGTCCGTCCCGGCACCACCTTCGCGCGACGGCCTCGGGGCGCACCTAGCCTGGCGCAAGCGCGGCCGCGGACTGCTGTCGTGCGAAACGGGCGGAGCGGTGGCGCAGCGGTTGGCGCATCGGCGCCACGAAACCCGGTGGCTCGAGTTCGATCGCGGCTGAGGGCCAACGGTCAGGGCACGAATCGATGAAGCCAGTCCTGAGCCTCACGCTAAGTCCATTTCGACCGCTGGCCGCGCCCAGCCGCGCCCGATCACAACTCCGGCAGATGCGCGAAAGCGTTCCGTGAAATGGAAGGTCAAAACGAAAGGGCTCCAACCGCGGCCGTGGAGGAAGCCCGAAGCATGAAAGGGCGCATCGCCCGTGAATTGGCTGCGTCCATGATGCGTCCGTGGCGGGGTCGCCGCGTCTAAGCCACCTCACTGGACTGCACGAGGGTTACCTTCGCGTCCACGCAATGGCGATCGTTGAGAAAGAGATAATAGCTGTTGCTTTTGAAAAAAAATTCCGTACGAAAGGGGAAGAAACCAACGCAGTCGACTCAGCCTTAAGTGCGTCACCTGGTGCGGCGTATAAAACTCATCATCGTTGGGGAGACAAAGGCGGCCGGGCGTGGCCATGGCCGGACTTCGTAGGCGCTCGCTGACGGCACTTGCCCCAACAGCCTGCGGCAGGCTACACGGGGGACCTTTGACTTTGCGTGCGCATTAAAAAAAAAATGGGGTGGGCCCTCTTAGTTTTCCAGTTTAATGTCAACGGTGGAAATGCAAAACGCGAAAAAAAATGTTTCCCTGCTCTGCTGTTTAATTGATTAGGTGGGTATTGAGGTCACAGTTGGTACGGTCCGTTGCTGTTCGAGATGAGAACGCCCACCCCAAAGCTGTCGTGTTGATGGTTTAGCCCACCAAATTGCCTGCAGGGGGTGTAAAACGAAAAGGAAATATATAAATATATACACACAATAATAAGATATATACACACACGCACGCAATAATACTAATTAAAAAAACATCACACCAAAAAAGTACACAGGACATGGTGACATCAAACAAAACGTACATGGGCTATTTTAAAATGATATATATAAAACATTTTAATTGCTCTTTGTGATAATTAAATTCGTGGCTAATCAAGTCATCTGAATATAGTAATAGGTTTTACCCTTTTAACTGGCACAAAAAACTGACACCTTTATTCAAGGCATCATGTTTGCAATAACCACAACACAAGCAGTCAAAATGCAAACAAAAAAGACAACTCTGATAATAATATTGGCACTGTCCTTGAATTTGATTGGTCCACACCCGAGACGGCTTTCTTTAGAGCCTAGTCTCCACTGGTGTTGGACCAGAAGACGCCAAAAGGCGTCAGAGTTATTATCAGAGTTGTCTTTTTTGTTTGCATTTTGACTGCTTGTGTTGTGGTTATTGCAGACATGATGCCTTGAATAAAGGTGTCAGTTTTTTGTGCCAGTTAAAAGGGTAAAACCTATTTCTATATCTTGTTACTGGCAAAAGAGGTCTCATAAAGTCATCTGAAGTTACAAGAATGCATTTTTTTTTCTTTAAATCAAAATGTCACAACAAAACGCCCGAGAGCACGCCCCCCACCGCCGAGATAGAGCGGTTAAATCCGCTCGTACAGATTGGGGCTTGGGGAGACTATCCAGCAGTGGATTGACCATGGCCGACGATGACGACGAGGGAGGATGAAGACGACGTCCACCGCGGAGATGGAGCGATGAAAATCGCATCGGAGGAAGGATCGTGAGAGAGATTTCTTCGGTAGGCGGTTTGGGGGGGTGGTGGTGACTTCCATCATGATAATGATGGTGATGACGAAACTGATGACGATGATGATCGTGACGATGATTATGATGATCACGATGATGATAATGATGGTGATGACGAAACTGATGACGATGATGATCATGACGATGATTATGATGCTCACGATGATGATGATAATGATGGTGATGATGAAACTGATGACGATGGTGATCGTGACGATGATTATGATGATCAAGATGATGATAATGATGGTGATGACGAAACTGATGACGATGGTGATCGTGACGATGATTATGATGATCACAATGATGATAATGATGGTGATGACGAAACTGGTGATGATAATGCTGATGATCATGATCATCACGATGGTATTGATGGTGATGACGAAACTGATGATGGTGATTATGATGATGATGGTGATCACGATGATGACAATGGTGATGACGAAACTGATGATGATCATGATGATGATAATGGTGATCACGATGATGACAATGGTGATAGTGATGACGAAACTGATGACGATGATGATCGTGACGATGATTACGATGATCACGATGATGATAATGATGGTGATGACGAAACTGATTATGGTGATTATGATGATCACGATGGTATTGATGGTGATGACGAAACTGATGATGATAATGCTGATGATCATGATCATCACGATAGTTTTTATGGTGATGACGAAACTGATTATGGTGATGATCATGATGATGATAATGGTGATCACGATGATGATGATGATGATGGTGATGATGAAACTGATAATGATAATGGTGATCACGATGATGACAATGATGATGGTGATGACGACACTGATGATGATCACGATGATGATAATGATGATCATGATGATAATCATGGTGATGACGAAAATGATAACGCTGATGATCATGATAACGATGATCATGATGATGATACTGATTATAATGATGATCATGATGATAACGATGGTGATGGCGAAACTGATCATGATGATGATGACAATGGATATATGCGTACGTTGAACTTCTTTCGCGCCGTACATAGCTAACCCGAGGCGCGACAAACGTGATGATGACGATAATAATGATGCTGATAACGGTGATGGCACGCGATCATCTGTAATCATCACCTCCAGATGTTGGCCTCAGGATCCAGGTGCTCGGCTGTCTGCAAGTGCGTGGTTCCATCATAGCCGCCGATGGCGATGATCTGCCCATTCACCACCGCCAAGCCCAGCTGTGTGACAAGAGATTATTTTTAGACGCCCGCTCGATCTCTCTCTCTGTCTCTCTCTCTCTGTGTCTTTCTGTGTCTCTCTCTGTCTCTCTCTGTGTGTGTGTCTCTCTCTCTCTGTTTCTCTGTCTCTCTCTGTCTCTCCCACTCTTGGTCTCTCCCTCTGTTTCTCTACCTTTCTCTCTGTCTATCTGTGTGTCTCTCTCTCTGTCTCTCTCTCTATCTCTCTCTGTTTCTCTGTATTTCTCTCTGTTTATCTGATTCTCTCTGTCTCTCTCTCTCGCTCCCTCTCTCCCCCTCTCTCTATTTCTTTTTTTACAATCAGAGGAAACAAGAAGATGCTCGGTGTAGTCGGCACTTTGATTCGTTCATCATTTTGTTATTTTTGTTTTTTTCAATGCTTTGTGCCCCCCCCCCCTTGTTGAAATGAAATATTTCACAAAAGATTTCACGCTCTGCTCTTCTCCTTCTTACCCCTCCCCTCTCTCTCTACCCCCCCCTCTCTCTCTCTCTCTCTACCCCCTCTCTACCCCCCTCTCTCTCTACCCCCTCTCTCTCTACCCCCTCTCTCTCTCTACCCCCTCTCTCTCTCTCTACCCCCTCTCTCTCTACCCCCTCTCTCTACCCCCATCTCTCTCTCTACCACCCCCCTCTCTCTACCCCCCTCTCTCTACCCCCCCTCTCTCTCTACCCCCCCTCTCTCTACCCCCCTCTCTCTCTACCCCCCCTCTCTCTACCCCCTCTCTCTCTACCCACCTCTCTCTCTCTCTACCCACCCCTCTCTCTACCCCCCCTCTCTCTACCCCCCCCCTCTCTCTACCCCCCTCTCTCTCTACCCCCCCCTCTCTCTACCCCCCCCCCCCTCTCTCTACCCCCCCCTCTCTCTACCCCCCTCTCTCTCTACCCCCCTCTCTCTACCCCCCCTCTCTCTACCCACCTCTCTCTCTCTCTCTACCCACCCCTCTCTCTACCCCCCCTCTCTCTACCCCCCCTCTCTCTACCCCCCTCTCTCTCTACCCACCTCTCTCTCTCTCTCTACCCACCCCTCTCTCTACCCCCCCTCTCTCTACCCCCCTCTCTCTCTATCCCCCTCTCTCTCTACCCACCCCTCTCTCTACCCACCTCTCTCTCTACCCCCTCTCTCTACCCACCTCTCTCTCTACCCCCTCTCTCTCTACCCCCTCTCTCTTTCTCTACCCCCTCTCTCTCTCTCTACCCCCTCTCTCTCTCTACCCCCTCTCTCTTTACCCACCTCTCCCTTTACCCACCTCTCTCTCTACTCTATGTCTATGTTCCCCTGTTTTCTATGTAAGTTTTTTTCCCTCTCTCTGTCTCTCTCTGCCTCTCTGTCTCTCTCCAAACGGAGGCCATTGCACGTTCACAACGGATACGCGTGAACATCTCCTGGCCACCGTGATGATGATGCGAGAGAGAGAAACACGCAAACTCCAAATATACAACAGGGGTCAGGGTCAGGATTGAACCCACGATCTCCTGCATACCAGGCGAGGTAGTGAACATCTCCTAGCCACCGTGATAATGATGATGAGAGAGAGAGACACGCAAACTCCAAATATACAGCAGCAGGCGTCAGGACTCGGGATCGAACCCACGACCTCCTGTACACCAGGCGAGGTAGTTAACATCTCGTAGCCACCGTGATGATGAGAGAGAGAGACACGCAAACTCCAAATGTACAGCAGCAGGCGTCAGGGTCGGGATCGAACCCACGACCTCCTGTACACCAGGCGAGGTAGTTAACATCTCCTAGCCACCGTGATGATGAGAGAGAGAGAGAGACACCGCAAACTCCAAATATACAGCAGCAGGGGTCAGGACTCGGGGTCGAACCCACGACCTCCTGTACACCAGGCGAGGTAGTTAACATCTCATAGCCACCGTGATTATGATGAGAGACAACGCAAACTCCAAATATACAGCAGCAGGCGTCAGGGTCGGGATCTAACCCACGACCTCCTGCATACCAGGCGAGGTAGTCAACATCTCATAGCCACCGTGCACCCCGCTGTAACCCGTGTCTCCCCGCGTCTCCCCCTGGCCCCTCTATTCTCTATCCCCCTCATTTATCGCTCCACCCCGGTAACCCCTCTCCTGCCCCCCCCCCCCCACATCTCCCCGGTGACCCCTCTAACCCCACCGCCCCCCCCCCCACCGCGCGCCACCGTACCCCGCGTCTGCGTGAGCACATGGGGGGCCCTGGGGTCCAGGCGTGGGCCTGCGGAGCGAGCCGCTCGCTGCTGCTGAGCGCCGGCAGCAGCGGCTCGTCCCCGCCTCCGGCAGCCACGAGCTCGCCGGCGTGGGCCACGAGGCCCAGCGAGCGGCGTGCGGTGAGCAGGGCGGGGCCCGGCAGCCACGCGTTCGCCGGCGGGTCGTAGCGCTCCACTGTGGCACAGCGTCGCGAGCGTCATTCGTCACTGTCGTCACTGTCGTCATTGTTGCGACTGTCGTCACTGTCGTCGTCGTCACTGTCGTCGTCACTGTCGTCATTGTTGCGACTGTCGTCACTGTCGTCGTCGTCACTGTCGTCATTGTTGCGACTGTCGTCACTGTCGTCGTCGTCACTGTCGTCATTGTTGCGACTGTCGTCACTGTCGTCGTCACTGTCGTCGTCACTGTCGTCATTGTTGCGACTGTCGTCACTGTCGTCGTCGTCACTGTCGTCATTGTTGCGACTGTCGTCACTGTCGTCGTCACTGTCGTCATTGTTGCGACTGTCGTCACTGTCGTCGTCACTGTCGTCACTGTCGTCATTGTTGCGACTGTCGTCACTGTCGTCGTCGTCACTGTCGTCATTGTTGCGACTGTCGTCACTGTCGTCATCACTGTCGTCACTGTTGCGACTGTCGTCGTCACTGTAGTCGTCGCTGTCGTCATTGTTGCGACTGTCGTCACTGTCGTCATTGTTGCGACTGTCGTCACTGTCGTCATCACTGTCGTCATTGTTGCGACTGTCGTCGTCACTGTAATCGTCACTGTCGTCATTGTTGCGACTGTCGTCACTGTCGTCATCACTGTCGTCATTGTTGCGACTGTCGTCGTCACTGTCGTCGTCACTGTCGTCATTGTTGCGACTGTCGTCACTGTCGTCGTCACTGTCGTCGTCACTGTCGTCGTCACTGTCGTCATTGTTGCGACTGTCGTCACTGTCGTCGTCACTGTCGTCATTGTTGCGACTGTCGTCACTGTCGTCGTCACTGTCGTCGTCACTGTCGTCATTGTTGCGACTGTCGTCACTGTCGTCGTCACTGTCGTCGTCACTGTCGTCATTGTTGCGACTGTCGTCACTGTCGTCGTCACTGTCGTCATTGTTGCGACTGTCGTCACTGTCGTCATCACTGTCGTCATTGTTGCGACTGTCGTCGTCACTGTCGTCGTCACTGTCGTCGTCACTGTCGTCATTGTTGCGACTGTCGTCACTGTCGTCGTCACTGTCGTCATTGTTGCGACTGTCGTCACTGTCGTCGTCACTGTCGTCGTCACTGTCGTCATTGTTGCGACTGTCGTCACTGTCGTCGTCACTGTCGTCGTCACTGTCGTCATTGTTGCGACTGTCGTCACTGTCGTCGTCACTGTCGTCATTGTTGCGACTGTCGTCACTGTCGTCGTCGTCACTGTTGCGACTGTCGTCACTGTCGTCGTCACTGTCGTCATTGTTGCGACTGTCGTCACTGTCGTCGTCACTGTCGTCATTGTTGCGACTGTCGTCACTGTCGTCATCACTGTCGTCACTGTTGCGACTGTCGTCGTCACTGTAGTCGTCACTGTCGTCATTGTTGCGACTGTCGTCACTGTCGTCATTGTTGCGACTGTCGTCACTGTCGTCATCACTGTCGTCATTGTTGCGACTGTCGTCGTCACTGTAGTCGTCACTGTCGTCATTGTTGCGACTGTCGTCACTGTCGTCACTGTCGTTGTCACTGTCGTCACTGTCGTCGACATCGTCGTCATCGTCAATGTCATCGCTGTCACCCTAATTATCGCTGTCATCATCGTCATCATCACTGTCATCATCGTCATCATCACTGTAATCATCACCATCGCTGTCATCATCATCATCATCATTGGGGGATGGGTGGGTGGGGGGATGGGGTGGGGTGGGGGGGATGGGGTGGGTAGGGTGGGGGGGATGGGGTGGGTGGGGTGGGTGGTATGGGGTGGGGGGGTTGGATGGGGGGTGGGTGGGGTAAAGTGGGTGGGGGGGGATGGGGTGGGTGGGGTGGGGGTCACCTGTCCGTAGGGGGGTCGTTCTGTCGGTGCCCCCCACGGCGTAGACGAAGCCCCCCAGGGAGGCAAGGGCTGCCCGGCACCGCCTCGTGGGCAGCGAGGGCAGTCGCGACCAGCGACCCTCCCGGGGGTCAAACCTGCTCGCAACACAGACAAAGGTCCCCCGTGTAGCCTCTCGCAGACTCTAGGGGCAAGTGCTGCGAGGTTAGCGAGCAGTAGCACCTATACACAAGACAAAGGTCCCCCGTGTAGCCTCTCGCAGACTCTAGGGGCAAGTGCTGCGAGGTTAGCGAGCAGTAGCACCTATACACAAGACAAAGGTCCCCCGTGTAGCCTCTCGCAGACTCTAGGGGCAAGTGCTGAGAGTTTAGCGAGCAGTAGCACCTATACACAGACAAAGGTCCCCCGTGTAGCCTCTCACAGACTGTAGGGGCAAGTGCTGTGAGCGAGCGTCACCTATGAGGGCCGGCACGGCACACGAGGGGGTGGGTGGCCTGCACCACGTCCGGCCGCCTTTGTCTCTCCAGTGGCGATGTTTACTATACACCGCACCAGGTACTCATTTGAAGCTGAGTAGACCTAGGGGAAGCCCAGGACCGGTTCCGATTATCGTCGGGTCACCAGCTTCGTGGTGGTTGTGGTGGTGGTTGTGGTGGTAGTAGTTGTGGTGGGGGTAGTTGTAGTCGTGGTGGTTGTAGTGGTGGTGGTTGTAGTGGTGGTGGTTGTTGTGGTGGTGGTTGTAGTGGTTGTGGTAGTTATTGTTGTGGTGGTGGTGGTTGTGGTAGTTGTTGTGGTGGTGGTTGTAGTGGTTGTGGTAGTTATTGTTGTGGTGGTGGTGGTTGTGGTAGTTGTGGTGGTGGTAGTTGTAGTGGTGGTGGTTGTAGTGGTGGTGGTAGTTATGGTAGTTGTGGTGGTTGTGGCTGTGGTGGTTGTGGTAGTTATTGTTGTGGTGGTGGTTGTGGTGGTTGTGGTTGTGGTGGTATATGGTGGTTGTGTTGTTGGTGGTTGTTGTGGTGGTTGTAGTTGTTGTGGTGGTGGTAGTTGTGGTGATTGTGGTAGTTATTGTGGTGGTGGTGGTTGTGGTGGTTGTGGTGGTATATGGTGGTTGTGTTGTTAGTGGTTGTTGTGGTTGTTGTGGTGGTGGTGGTTGTAGTTGTTGTGGTGGTGGTGGTTGTAGTGGTTGTGGTAGTTATTGTTGTGGTGGTGGTTGTGGTAGTTATTGTTGTGGAGGATGTGGTGGTTGTTGTGGTTGTAGTGGTAGTTGTGGCGGTGGTAGTTATTGTCGTGGTGGTTCTGGTAGTTATTGTTGTGGTGGTTGTGGTGGTTGTGGTGGCATATGGTGGTTGTGTTGTTGGTGGTTGTTGTGGTTGTTGTGGTGGTGGTGGTGGTTGTAGTTGTTGTGGTGGTGGTAGTTGTGGTGGTTGTGGTAGTAATTGTTGTGGTCGTGGTTGTAGTGGTTGTGGTAGTTATTGTTGTGGTGGTGGCTGTGGTAGTTATTGTTGTTGTGGTGGTTGTTGTGGTTGTAGTGGTAGTTGTGGTGGTGGTAGTTATTGTCGTGTTGGTTCTGGTAGTTATTGATGTTGTGGTATATGTGGTGGTTGTGGTAGATATTGTTGTGGTGGTAGTTGTGGTGGTTGTGGTGGTATATGGTGGTTGTGTTGTTGGTGGTTGTTGTGGTTGTTGTGGTGGTTGTAGTTGTTGTGGTGGTAGTTGTGGTGGTTGTGGTTGTAGTGGTATATGGTGGTTGTGTTGTTGGTGGTTGTTGTGGTTGTTGTGGTGGTTGTCGTTGTTGTGGTGGTGGTAGTTGTGGTGGTTGTGGTTGTAGTGTTTGTGGTAGTTATTGTTGTGGTGGTGGTTGTGGTAGTTATTGTTGTAGTGGTGGTTGTTGTGGTGGTTGTGGTAGTTACTGTGGTGGTGGTAGTTGTGGTGGTTGTGGTAGTTATTGTTGTGGTGGTGGTTGTGGTAGTTATTGTTGTGGTGGTGGTGGTGGTTGTAGTGGTAGTTGTGGTGGTGGTAGTTATTGTTGTGGTGGTTGTGGTAATTATTGTTGTGGTGGTGGTTGTAGTGGTTGTGGTAGTCATTGTTGTGGTTGTTGTGGTGGTGGTGGTTGTAGTTGTTGTGGTGGTGGTTGTAGTGGTTGTGGTAGTTATTGTTGCGGTGGTTGTGGTAGTTATTGTTGTGGTGGTGGTTGTGGTGGTTGTTGTGGTTGTAGTGGTAGTTGTTGTAGTGGTAGTTGTGGTGGTGGTTGTGGTGGTGGTGGTTGTAGTTGTTGTGGTAGTTATTGTTGTGGTGGTGGTTGTAGTGATTGTGGTAGTTATTCTTGTGGTTGTTGTGGTGGTGGTGGTGGTTGTGGTGGTGGTTGTAGTTGTTGTGGTGGTGGTTGTAGTGGTTGTGGTAGTTATTGTTGTGGTGGTGGTTGTGGTGGTGGTGGTTGTAGTTATTGTTGTGGTGGTGGTTGTAGTGGTTGTGGTAGTTATTGTTGTGGTGGTAGTTATTGTTGTGATGGTGGTTGTGGTGGTTGTAGTGCTTGTGGTAGTTATTGTTGTGGTGGTGGTAGTTGTGGTTGTTGTGGTGATGGTGGTGGTTGTGGTGGTGGTTGTAGTGGTAGTTGTGGTTGTGGTGGTGGTGGTAGTTATTGTTGTTGTGGTGGTGGTTGTGGTGGTGGTAGTTATTGTGGTGGTGGTGGTTGTGGTAGTTATTGTTGTGGTGGTGGTTGTGGTGGTTGTGGTGGTATATGGTGGTTGTGTTGTTAGTGGTTCTTGTGGTTGTTGTGGTGGTGGTAGTTATTGTTGTGGTGGTGGTGGTTGTTGTGGTTGTGGTAATTATTGTTGTGGTGGTGGTGGTTGTATTTGTTGTGATGGTAGTTGTGGTGGTTGTGGCAGTTGTGGTTGTTGTGGTGGTGGTTGTGGTGGTGGTGGTAGTTATTGTTGTTGTTGTGGTGGTGGTTGTTGTGGTGGTGGTTGTGGTGGTGATGGTGGTGGTTGTGGTGGTTGTAGCAGTAGTTGTTGTTGTGGTGGTTGTGGTGGTGGTGGTTGTAGTAGTAATTCTTGTTGTGGTGGTGGTTGTGGTGGTGGTTGTAGTGGTAGTTATTGTTGTGGTAGTTATTGTGGTGGTGGTTGTTGTGGTGGTGGTTGTGGTGGTTGTGGTGGTGGTTGTGGTGGTGGTGGTAGTTGTGGTGGTGGTAGTTATTGTTGTGGTAGTTGTGGTGGTTGTAGTGGTAGTGGTAGTTATTGTGGTGGTGGTGGTTGTAGTGGTTGTTGTGGTGGTAGTTATTGCTGTGGTGGTGGTGGTTGTAGTGGTAGTTGTGGTAGTTATTGTGGTGGTGGTGGTGGTGGTTGTAGTGGTTGTTGTGGTGGTAGTTATTGTTGTGTTGGTGGTGGTTGTAGTGGTTGTTGTAGTGGTAGTTATTGTGGTGGTGGTGGTTGTAGTGTTAGTTGTGGTGGTGGTGGTGGTGGTTGTAGTGGTAGTTATTGTGGTGGTGGTAGTTATTGTGGTGGTGGTGGTTGTGGTGGTGGTTGTAGTTATTGTTGTGGTGGTGGTGGTGGTTGTAGTGGTAGTTGTGGTGGTGGTAGTTATTGTGGTGGTGGTGGTTGTGGTGGTGGTTGTAGTTATTGTTGTGGTGGTGGTGGTTGTAGTGGTAGTTGTGGTGGTGGTAGTTGTGGTGGTGGTGGTGGTGGTGTCGCTTGCACCTCTCGGCGACGCTGAGGCAGGACGTGCCGTCGTCACCGCCCGCTGCGTACAGGAGCCCCTCGTGTGACGTCACGGCCACGTGTGCTCGAGGGCCGCTGATGGGAGCGACGTCGCTGAGCCACGAGTCGGACGCCGCCTCGTACCTGCGGGCACGCCGCGAGATCGCGAGACAACGGGGCCCCTCGTCACCGATCATCGTCACCGATCGTCGTCACCGATCATCGTCACCGATCATCGTCACCGATCATCGTCAACGATCACTGTCACCGTCACCGATCATCATCACCGATCACCGTCACTGATCGTCGTGACCGATCATCGTCACCGATCGTCATCACCGATCACCGTCACCGATCGTCGTCACTGATCTCACCGATCGTCGTCACTGATCATCGTCACCGATCATCGTCACCGATCATCGTCACCGATCACCGATCATCGTCACCGATCATCGTCACCGATCATCGTCACCGATCATCGTCACCGATCATCATCTCCTAGCCACCGTGATGATGATGAGAGAGAGAGAGAGAGACACGCAAACTCCAAATCTACATCAGCAGCAGGCGTCAGGGTCTGGGATCGAACCCACGACCTACTGCACACCAGGCGAGGGAGTCAACATCTCTTAGCCACCGCGGCGCCCCAGACACACAGAGACACAAAGAGACACAAACACCCCCCCCCCCCCCCCCCGGACACAGAGACAGACGCACAGAGACGCAAAGACAAACACCCACACTTAAAAACACACACACACACACACATCATCAGTGTCTGGATCGGAACCCACGACCTCCTGCACACCCCCACCCCCCCACCCCCCCCACCCCGGTCACCTGTCGACAGTGTTGAGATGAGCGATGCCATCGAAGCCCCCCACGCAGTAGAGGCTGCCCCCCAGCGCGCAGATCCCGGCCCAGCGGCGCGTGGTGCGCGGGGCGGAGAGTCCGTGCCACTCGCGAGTCGACGCATCGAAGCGCTCCGCGCACGACCGGGCCCCCTCTCCGCAGGGCACGCCCACTGTGACGGCAATAAGACAACGGCGTGGGATGAGCGACAGTGGACAGCAACAACAACAGCAACAAACAATGAACAACGAGCGGTAATTAAAACAACGGGGGGAAAAAGACAATGAAGAACGTCGAAAAAACAACAACGCGCAACAATAACAATCGACCATGAACATCAGCAGTCAACAACAATGAACAACAATAAACAACACCAACAATAAGCTATAATGAACCACGACGGGAAAACAACAACGGACAGCGAAAAAGAGTAACACAGCAATAACAATCAAACGCGAACAACAAACACAAGCGTAAACAACAATAAACAACACTAAACATCAACAATAAACAACAACAATGAACGTTACGCGCAGACAGACAGAAAGACCGACAGACGGACGGACGGACGCATAGAGACAGGTCAACAGACAAACGGGTACGCACGGAGAGAGATGCGTGACCCCACGGTACGCACGGACAGAGTTTATTTGACCCCGCGGTACGCACAAACATATACAAATACAACGCTGTTATTTTTTTCTACCCACGTGACTTTACCGAAAGAACCAAAGAGTATGGATTCATGCAGTCACGAAAGCTTCAAATCAAGATCATCCCCATCCTACCCGGCAAAGTCCACTGAGGTGTAAACTTATTTTTCAGAAGCGACCTGGCTACCACAAATAAGAGCTCAGCAAAGTGGCCCCCGTCATTTGGACGTTCACATCAGCAGCAAAGTTATCTGAAAAATCTCAATGCGTGTTTCTAAATGTGGAGTGGAGGACTCAGACGGACAGAGCTAATACATTATAATTAACCACGGTGGCTAGGAGATGTCAACTCTCTCGCCTGTTATGCAGGAGGTCATGAGTTTGTTCCCGGCCCTGACGCCTGCTGCTGTATATTTGGAGTTTGCGTGTCTCTCTCTCTCATCATCATCACGGTGGCTAGGAGATGTTGACTGCCTCGCCTGGTATACAGGAGGTCATGGGTTCGATCCCGAACCCTGACGCCTGCTGCTGTATATTTGAAGTTTTCGGTGTCTCTCTTTCTCTCGCCGTGGTCGCGTGAATTTTTCTCCGGGTCCTCCGTTTTTTTTCCCCTCCACATTTAGAATCAACGCCACGGCGTTTAAGAGGTTTTTTTTGGCCGCTGCTATAAATTCCCACACGATGACGACGAGAATGGTGGTTGCGATGGCGAGGGTCGCTTCTGAACAAGAGCTACAGTGAGGGAAAAAGTATTTGATCCCCTGCTGATTGTGTACGTTTGCCGACTGACAAATAAATTATCAGTCTAATATTTTAATGGTAGATTTATTTGAACAGTGAGAGACAGAATAACAACAAAAAAATCCAGAAAAAAGCATGTCAAAAATTTTATAAATTGATTTGCATTTTAATGAGGGAAATAAGTATTTGACCCCTCTACAAAACATGACTTAGTACTTGGTGGCAAAACCCTTATTGGCAATCACAGAGGTCAGACGTTTCTTGTAGTTGGCCACCAGGTTTGCACACATTTCAGGAGGGATTTTGTCCCATTCCTCTTTGCAGATCTTCTCCAAGTCATTAAGGTTTCGAGGCTGACGTTTGGCAACTCGAACCTTCAGCTCCCTCCACAGATTTTCTATGGGATTAAGGTCTGGAGAGTGGCTAGGCCACTCCAGGACCTTAATGTGCTTCTTCTTGAGCCACTCCTTTGTTGCCTTGGCCGTGTGTTTTGGGTCATTGTCATGCTGGAATACCCATCCACGACCCATTTTCAATGCCCTGGCTGAGGGAAGGAGGTTCTCACCCAAGATTTGACGGTACATGGCCCCGTCCATCGTCCCTTTGATGCGGTGAAGTTGTCCTGTCCCCTTAGCAGAAAAACACCCCCAAAGCATAGTGTTTCCACCTCCATGTTTGACGGTGGGGATGGTGTTCTTGGGGTCATAGGCAGCATTCTTCCTCCTCCAAACACGGCGAGTTGAGTTGATGCCAAAGAGCTCCATTTTCGTCTCATCTGACCACAACACTTTCACCCAGTTGTCCTCTGAATCATTCAGATGTTCATTGGCAAACTTCAGACGGGCATGTATATGTGCTTTCTTGAGCAGGGGGACCTTGCGGGCGCTGCAGGATTTCAGTCCTTCACGGCGTAGTGTGTTACCAATTGTTTTCTTGGTGACTATGGTCCCAGCTGCCTTGAGATCATTGCCAAGATCCTCCCGCGTAGTTCTGGGCTGATTCCTCACCGTTCTCATGATCATTGCAACTCCACGAGGTGAGATCTTGCATGGAGCCCCAGGCCGAGGGAGATTGACAGTTATTTTGTGTTTCTTCCATTTGCGAATAATTGCACCAACTGTTGTCACCGTCTCACCAAGCTGCTTGGCAATGGTCTTGTAGCCCATTCCAGCCTTGTGTAGGTCTACAATCTTGTCCCTGACATCCTTGGAGAGCTCTTTGGTCTTGGCCATGGTGGAGAGTTTGGAATCAGATTGATTGATTGCTTCTGTGGACAGGTGTCTTTTATACAGGTTAACAAGCTGAGATTAGGAGCACTCCCTTTAAGAGTGTGCTCCTAATCTCAGCTTGTTACCTATATAAAAGACACCTGGGAGCCAGAAATCTTTCTGATTGAGAGGGGGTCAAATGCTTATTTCCCTCATTAAAATGCAAATCAATCTATAACATTTTTGACTTGCGTTTTTCTGGATTGTTTTGTTGTTATTCTGTCTCTCACTGTTCAAATAAACCTGCCATTAAAATTATAGACTGATCATTTCTTTGTCAGTGGGCAAACGTACAAAATCAGCAGGGGATCAAATACTTTTTTTCCCTCACTGTACGTAGAAGCTCAGTGGGGGGGGGGAGGGGGGGGGCTACACCTGGTAACAATAACATAATTTAGTTGCACTTTTTCGACCTTAACTTAAAAAACGTGAAAACGTCGGCAGGTGGGAGACTTTGCCGTGTCACTATTCGGGGGTGGTGGTCAGTGGTGGTAGTGGCGAATGTTGGTGATAGGTGGTGGTGGTGGTGGTAGTTGTGGTCGTGGCAATTGGTGATGGTGATAGTGATTGGTGGTAATTGGTGGTGTGGTGATTGATGATGGTGGTTGGTGGTGGCGAATGCTGGTGGTAATGGTGGTAGTGGTAATTGATTGGTGGTGGCGGTGATTATTGGTGGTGGTGGCTGTTAGTAGCGCTGGTGGTGGTGGCTGGTGATTGGTGATGATGCCAATTGGTGGTGGTTGGTGGTGGTGGTGATGATGATGATGATAGCGAAGATGATGGCGACGATGGTGATGATGTTGATGGTGATGATGGTGGTGATGTTGATGGTGATGATGGTGCTGATGTTGATGTCGATGATGATGACGAACAGTGGCAGCTAAATCCGGAACAGGCCGGGGGGGGTGGTTTGAGGGTCGGGGAGCTGACCAGAGTTCCGCTCAATCATGAACCCCCCCCCACCTCCCCCCCCCCACCTCCCCCCCCACCAACGCCATCCATCATTCTCAGCGGTGCCTTGCTGGTGTCACTCCGCGCTCGGGTTTCCGCTGCAATGACAATCGGGAGCGTGTTTGGGATGAATGCTCGAGCAAGATTAATGAGTGGTCGTGCTGGGAAGATTCCCTTTATCCTACGCAACACTTTCCAAAGTAGGGACGGAAAGCTTTCATGGAGGGTCGGGTCTCCGCTGTCAGTATGCCCCATCTGTCTGTCCCGTGTGTCTGCACGCCTGCCCGTCTGGGGCGCCATGGTGGCTAGGAGATGTCGACTACCTCGCCTGGTGTACAGGAGGTCGTGGGTTCGATCTCAGACCCTGACGCCTGCTGCTGTATATTTGGAGTTTGCGTGTCTCTCTCATCATCATTATCATCACGGTGGCTAGGAGATGTCAACTACCTCGCCTGGTGTACAGGAGGTCGTGGGTTCGATCCCAGACCCTGACGCCTGCTGCTGTATATTTGGAGTTTGCGTGTCTCTCTCATCATCATTATCATCACGGTGGCTAGGAGATGTCGACTACCTCGCCTGGTGTACAGGAGGTCGTGGGTTCGATCCCAGACCCTGACGCCTGCTGCTGTATATTTGGAGTTTGCGTGACTCTCTCATCATCATCATCACGGTGGCTATGAGATGTCGACTACCTCGCCTGGTGTACAGGAGGTCGTGGGTTCGATCCCAGACCCTGACGCCTGCTGCTGTATATTTGGAGTTTGCGTGTCTCTCTCTCTCATCATCATCACGCTGGCCAGGAGATGTTGACTACCTCGCCTGGTGCACAGGAGGTCGTGGGTTCGATCCCAGACCCTGACGCCTGCTGCTGTATATTTGGAGTTTGCGTGTCTCTCTCATCATCATCACGGTGGCTAGGAGATGTCAACTACCTCGCCTGGTGCACAGGAGGTCGTGGGTTCGATCCCAGACCCTGACGCCTGCTGCTGTATATTTGGAGTTTGCGTGTCTCTCTCATCATCATTATCATCACGGTGGCTAGGAGATGTCAACTACCTCGCCTGGTGTACAGGAGGTCGTAGGTTCGATCCCAGACCCTGACGCCTGCTGCTGTACATTTGGAGTTTGCGTGTCTCTCTCTCATCTCTCATCCCTTGGTCACGAGGATTTCTGTCTGGGTCCTCCGTTTTGATTCTCTCTTCCACATTGAGACTCAACGTCATGCGTTTAAGAGAATTTGGCTGCTGCTATACCACTAAAACAATTATCACCACCAATCACCACCCACCAATCACCACCCACCAATCACCACCCACTAATCACTACCCACGAATCACCACCACCAATCACCACCCACCAATTACCACCAACAATTATCACCACCAATCACCACTCACTAATAACCACCACCAATCACCACCACCAATCACCACCACCAATCACCACCCACCAATCACCACCACCAATCACCACCCACCAATTACCACCAACAATTATCACCACCAATCACCACCCACAAATCACCACCACCAATCACCACCACCAATCACCACCACCAATCACCACCCACCAATCACCACCCACCAATCACCACCCACTAATCACCACCCACTAATCACCACCACCAATCACCACCACCAATCACCACCCACTAATCACCACCACCAATCACCACCAACAATTATCACCACCAATCACCACCCACCAATCACCACCACTAATCACCACCACCAATCACCACCCGCCAATCACCACCCACTAATCACCACCCACCAATCACCACCACCAATCGCCACCACCAATCACCACCCACTAATCACCACCACCAATCACCACCCACCAATCACCACCCACCAATCACCACCCACTAATCACCACCACCAATCACCACCACCAATCACCACCACTAATCACCACCCACTAATCACCCCACCAATCACCACCACCAATCACCACCCACCAATCACCACCCACCAATCACCACCACCAATCACCACCCACTAATCACCACCAATCACTACCACCAATCACCACCACCAATCACCACCCACTAATCACCACCCACTAATCACCACCACCAATCACCACCACCAATCACCACTCACCAATCACCACCGCCAATCACCACCCACCAATCATCCCCCCCGCCGCTCCCCCCCCTCCCCGCTCTCTTCCCGCTGAACTCACCGATGGCCACAGCGTTGTTGCTTACGCGACGCAACATTTAGGGGCCGTCCATAAATGACGTCACGCGATTTGGGACGATTTTTGACCCCCCCCCCCCCCCCCTTTAATATGACGTCACAAAGCTCTGCCCCCCCCCACGCCCCCCCCCGAAAACAATAAAACACGCTTCACATCTTTTGATTTAAAGTTTTCGTGACTGCAGGGATTCATATTCTTTGTTCTTTCGGTAAAGTCACCACGTTAGAAGGGAAACAATAAAATAATAAAAAAATATAAAACAATAAAATTCTCACGACGTTTCGACTGCAACACAATACAATTCTCACGTCGTGAGAAATGTATTTTTAATATTTTTTATTATTTTATTGTTTCCCTTCTACGTGACTTTACCGAAAGAATCAAGAATATGCTTCACATCGCTTTAAACTATTGTCATTGTAGTGCGTATTTAATGTGGCGCTGCACTCTGATGTTGTAGGAGAAAACATTTATTAAAACGTCTATTTAATTAAGTAGAACGTGTTGTCTATATTTATTTAAAGTTGCGCATTTTGATGTGACGTCACATTTCTCAACCCCCCTCGTCACATCGTCACAAATGTCTGACCCCCCCCCCCCCCCCCACCTAGGCGCGTGACGTCATTTATGGACGGCCCCTTATACTCACGCGGGTCTGTACCCAAATCATTACGGGGGAGGGGGGAGGGGAGCGTCTGCTAGCAAGCCATTGCAGGGGCTGCACCTTTACCCAGGAGCTTGTGCGCTTACCCACGTATAAGGAGTCACCGTGAGGGTTAATCTCGATGCGTTGCTTCTGCTGATGCTGATCCTTCGCTGCTGGCACGGGCACACTGCACACGCACAGAGAAAAAGATCCCCCGTGTAGCCTGTAACGGACTGTCGGGGCAAGTGCTGTTGGCTTGCACACAAAGACAAAGATCCCCCGTGTAGCCTGTAACAGACTGTTGTGGCAAGCGCTGTTAGCTTGCACACAAAGACAAAGATCCCCCGTGTAGCCTACATGAACTGTAATAGACTGTTGGGGCAAGCGCTCTTAGCTATCACACACAAAAATAAAGATCCCCCGTGTAGCCTGTAACAGACTGTTGGGGCAAGTGCTGTTAGCCAGCACACACAAAGACAAAGATCCCCCGTGTAGCCTGTAACGGACTGTTGGGGCAAGCGCTGTTAGCGAGTAGCGGCACCTCTGAAGGCCGGCACGGCGCACGTGGGGATGGTGATGCCAGCGACCCCGCCAGGGCCGCCTTTGTCTCTCCGCAGTACTGATGTTTACATCTTAAGTATAAAAAAAACCCTGAGAATTACATTTTAAATATATATATTTCCTGATGCACAGTTTTAAAGAAATTGGCATGGGAATGGTTTACACTCACGGTAGCTAAATGAGCGGTGAGCCCCCGTTCAACGAGCGCCAAAGTATTACACAAAACACAGACTCATCCCAAGTTTATTGTCCGAGGTCGAGATGTGATTCCCATCGGGCTGTGTGGCTCCACCTCGAAGGGCGACTTGGCCTGCAGGCAGGCAAGGGTCAACCCCGATAAGTGAATAAACAAGAAGATGCGACTTTTAATCGGTAAATAAAGCCACGATGACCTCGCGAAAACTGGGAGGCTTGGCACGTATGCCGTTTCAACCTGAACGATGTCTGTTTAAAAAAAAAAAACAGTGGAGAGAGATGGCAGATGAAGAGGTGGGAGGAGGTGGTGGTGGTGGTGGATCTCCAGAGAAGACCCGCGACCGACCGCTTTGTTTCCAGAAATTTGGAGCAGCTGCATCAGCTACAGCAGCTGCATCAGCAGCAGCAGTAGCATCATCAGCAGCATCAGCAGCTAATGCAGCTGCATCAGCAGCAGCATCAATAGCATCAGTATCAGCAGCAGCTACAGCTACAGCAGCTGCATCAGCAGTAGCATCAGTAGCATCAGCAGCAGCTACAGCAGCAGCAGCAGTAGCAGCAGCAGCATCAGCAGCTACAGCAGCTGCATCAACAGTAGCATCAGTAGCATCAGCTGCAGCTACAGCAGCAGTGGCATCAGCAGCATCAGTAGCATCAGCAGCAATAGCAGCTGCATCAGCAGTATCAGCAGCTACGTGAAACGCTTTTTGAACCGAGATTTGCTTACGGAATCTCGGAATCGTGAACCAACGATCAAACTTATGCATCGCAGATAAAAAAAAATATTGGAGGGGGGAGAAATGTTTTGTAACGGCACTACTACTAATACTACGACAAATACATCTGATGCATAAAGTACGCATCTTTGATAATAAACGTTTTTGGGTTAGATCGCGTTATTTATAAATGTGTCGTAAGCCTCCACCACCCGACACGGCCAAACAGTAAAAAAAATGTGTCACGTTTAACAAAAGACAAAATAGTTCACTACTTTCGCCCACCGGTGTGTTGAAGAGTGATTCAACGGATCTTTGGGTAGTTGCCTTATAAATTAAATGTTCCCAATGGAAAACAAGAACGTCTTCGAGCGTCCAGGCTGTGGATGGTTTAATGTTGAATATTTCTTACACTTTACACTCCTGTCGTGTTTTGTGATTGTGTTTCTTGTTGTAACGTTCTTACCACGTGTCCCGACTGGACGGCTGTGAAAAAGAGCTTCATAGCTCATCGGATTCCTCCTGTACAAATACAATATAACTGATTCTGACATTAGCCCAGTCTTTATATTTATTTAAAAAAAAAGTATAAAACGTTGATGGCACGTTGCATTATGGGTAGAATCTGCTCTAGGGAGGTCATTGCAGAATCAATCCACTTGTGAAAAATAAGAATATATTTTACCCCTTCCTGGCAATAATAGGAGGTGTTAAGATGTTCAAACACCAACCAAGGAATCAAGTGTTTGCACGTTCACCACACACAGTACCTGTGGTGAACGTGCAAACAAACATGGCACTATATAGTCTTACTTCTTTCGGTAAAGTAACGTAGAGAGGAAAGAATAAAATCATAAAAATAAAACATAATAAAATCATATTCTTGGTTCTTTCGGTAAAGTCACGTAGAAGATAATTTTATTGTTTTATTGTTTAATATTTGTATTATTTTGTTGTTTACCTTCTACCTGACATTACCGAAAGAACCAAGAATATGAATCCCTGCGGTCACGAAAGCTTTAAATCAAAATATAATAAAATCAAACAAATTCTTAGGACGCTGTCTTTCCGACAGCTCTGTTTCGTCACCGCGAGGACGGCTGCTTGCGTTGTGGCCGAAACGTCGTGAGAATTTATTTTATTACGTTTAATTTGTATTATTTTATTACTTCGCTTCTACGTGGTGACTTTACCGAAAGAACCAAGCATGTGAATCCCTGCAGTCACGAAAGCTTTAAATCGAAACATGGCACTGGTAATAGATGGCGTTGTCTTTGAGACTGATTGGCCTACACCAGAGCCTTCTTCAGGTTCTCGTCTCACCACCAGTGTCAGACCAGGGAACAATGCCACGTGTGTCGGAGCGTTTATAGTTCGCGGTGAGCAGCTACATGGTGGGATCTTCTTTTTTTTTGCCAGTATCAAAGTATGATGCATTCCTGGTTCACTGCATTAAGACCAGTAATAATAATAATAAATTATTAGATTCGCGATTGATAGTCCCTTGACTCCAGCACGTGGTCACAAGTCGCAGTCACCTCGCTGTAGGGTTATTATCTCGCCTACGATTAGCGCGGTTGGCTACTCACGGGGCGAAAGCAGTTCAACTTACATACATCCTGCCCAGACTCAACACTGCCAATATACTCAACACTGCCCATAGACTCAACACTCAACACTGCCCATAGACTCAACACTGCCCATAGGCTCAACACTGCCCATAGACTAACACTGCCCATAGACTCAACACTGCACCATAGACTCAACACTGCACCATAGACTCAACACAGCCCATAGACTCAACACTGCCAATATACTCAACACTGCCCATAGACTCAACACTGCCCATAGACTCAACACTGCCCATAGACTCAACACTGCCCATAGGCTCAACACTGCCCATAGACTCAACACTGCCCATAGACTCAACACTGCCCATAGACTCAACACTACCCATAAACTCAACACTGCCCATAGACTCAACACCGCCCATAGACTCAACACTGCACCATAGACTCAACACTGCACCATAGACTCAACACTGCACCATAGACTCAACACTGCCCATAGACTCAACACTGCCCACAGACTCAACACTGCCCATAGACTCAACACTGCACCTCCGATTAGCTCCGGTCGGCTACACACGGTGCAAAAAGACGTTCAACGCGCGCACGCGCAACGTGATCGTGCAAGCGTCGAATCGAGAATGCGCCACGCACTCGACAGTGGAGTTCACTCGACACGGCAACCATCAATCAGCTCGAGCTGCCACAGGCGGACGGACGGGCGGAGTTGATGCGCGGCTCGGAAGGGTGAGCTTAGATTGAGACAACTTCGAACGCACCCTTCTGAGCTGAGTAGAACCACGGCTGGAATTTGATTCGAACTCACCCTTCCGAGCTGAATAGAACCACGGCTCGAGTTTGATTCGCACTCACTTGGACAAGTCCGAACTCACCCTTCCGAGCTGAGTAGAACCATGGCTCGACTTTGATTCAAACTCACCCTTCCGAGCTGAGTAGAACCATGGCTAGAGTGTGATTCCCACTCACCTGGACAACTTCAAACTCACCCTTCCGAGCTGAGTAGAACCACGGCTAAAGTTTGATTCGAACTCACCCTTCCGAGCTGAGTAGAACCATGGCTGGAGTGTGATTCTCTCTCACCTGGACAACTTCAAACTCACCCTTCCGAGCTGAGTAGAACCACGGCTAGAGTTTGATTCGAACTCACCCTTCCGAGCTGAGTAGAACCATGGTTCGAGTTTGATTCGCGCTCTCTTCGGCCTCGCTCTGAAAAACAAAAAAAACGAAACCAGCGACAGGGCAGCAGCACAGCTGACTCCGCGCGACGAGTTGTACGATAATAATAATTATGATGCTGATGATTATGATGATTATTATGATGATGATTTTTACGATTATTATGATTACGATGATGATTCATTATTATTCTGATGGTTAAGATGATCATTCTTATGATGATGATTATGATGATGATTATTACGATGATGATTATGATTTTTACGATTATTATGATGATTACGATGATGATTCATTATTATTCTGATGGTTAAGATGATAAATCTTATGATGATTATGATGATTAATTAAAATTCCGATTATTAAGATGATCATTCTTATGATGATTATTATGCTGATTGTTATGATTATTATCACGTGATTATGATTATTATGATGATTATGATGATTGTTCTTCTGATAATGATGAAGATTATGATCATGGTTATTTATTTAGATATATATGTCTCCGTTACGTTCTTGAAACACAACATCCCCCCCCCCCCCCAAAATAAAAACTATCGCAAAGAAATTACCGTCGATTGAAACTCAAACAAAGTTATAGGTACATCGAGAGAGAAAGCGCTATGTAAACCTACATAGAATAAGGTGCAGTGATAATTAATTATCATCATCATCATCATCACTGAGCCACCAACCTAGGCAAAGCGTGTCTTGTGCGTCGGTGCGTACGTGTCTGCGTCTGCGTCTGAACGAGCGATGCACGACGGACGCCACTGTCGGACAGCCACGTGGGGGAGGGGGGCCCTTTATGCTTCTCCGTTGCATCACCGCCACTGTCATCGATCCCCTGCCCCCCCCCCCCCACCGCGGTGCCAACCAACCTCCCCCTGACCCCCTCTCCTCGCCGCGCTCGCGACGTTCCCAAGCTCGCGATGACATGGTCCCAAAATAGCACGCGCCTCGCCCGCGTTTCTGCGCGGGTGATGCGTGGGTGGGGTGGTGGGTGATGTGTGGGTGGGGTGGGTTCGTGGATGATGTGTGTGTGGGTGGGTGGACGGGCTGGGTGGGTGGGTGGGTAGGTTGGTGGGTGATGTGTGGGTGGGGTGGGTTCGTGGATGATGTGTGTGTGGGTGGATGGGCTGGATGGGTGGGTAGGTTGGTGGGTGATGTGTGGGTGGGTGGACGGGACGGGTGGGTGGGTTGGTGGGTGATGGGTGGGTGGGTGGACGGTTGAGTGGGTGGTTTGGTGGGTGATGTGTGGGTGGGGGGGTGGACGGTTGAGTGGATGGGTTGGTGGGTGATGGATGGGTGGGTGATGGGTGGGTGGGTGGACGGATTAATGGGTGGGTTGGTGGGTGATATGTGGGTGGGTGGGTTGATGGGTGATGTGTGGGTGGGTGGATGGACGGGCTGGGTGGGTGTGTTGGTGGGCGCTGTGGTGTGATGTGGGTGGGTGGACGGGTTGGGTGGGTGGATTGGTTGGTGGGTGATGTGTGGGTGGGTGAACGGACGAGCTGGGAGGGTGGGTTGGTTGGTGATGTGGTCACTGGCTGGTGGTGGGTGATGTGGTCACTGGCTGGGTAACTGGCTGGATGGCTGGGTCATTGGCTGGGTGGGTGGTTCACTGGCTGGGTCACTGGGTGGGTGGCTGGGTCACTGACTGGGTAACTGTCTGGATAACTGAGTAGTTGGGTGGCTGGGTGGGTGGTTGGGCAGCTGGGTGGCTGGGTGGGTCACTAGCTGGGTGACTGGGTGGGTCACTAGCTGGGTGACTGGGTGGGTCACTAGCTAAGTGGCTGGGTGGGTCACTAGCTGGGTGACTGGGTGGGTGGGTTATTAGCTGGGTGACTGGATGGGTGAGTGGGTGGATCACTGGCTGGGTGGGTGGGTCACAGTCTGGGTGAGTGGGTGGGTCACTGTCTGGGTGAGTGGGTGGGTCACTGACTGGGTGGGTGGGTGGCACACCGACTGGGTGAGTGGGTGGGTCACTGGCTGGGTGAGTGGGTGGATCACTGGCTGGGTGAGTGGGTGGGTCACTGGCTGGGTGAGTGGGTGGATCACTGGCTGGGTGAGTGGGTGGATCACTGGCTGGGTGAGTGGGTGGATCACTGGCTGGGTGAGTGGGTGGGTCACTGGCCGGGTGAGTGGGTGGCTGGGTGGGTGTGTGGATCACTGGCTGGGTGATTGTGTGGATCACTGGCTGGGTGAGTAGGTGGGTCACTGGCTGGGTGGGTGGGTGGCTGGGTGAGTGGGTGGGTCACTGTCTGGGTGATTGTGTGGATCACTGGCTGGGTGGCTGGCTGGGTCACTGGCCGGGTGGGTGGGTGGCTGGGTGGCTGGCTGGGTCACTGGCTGGGTGAGTGTGTGGATCACTGGCTGGGTGGCTGGTTGCGTCACTGGCTGGGTGAGTGGATCACCTGCTGGGTGGGTGGGGGGGGGTCACCGGCTGGGCGTCTGGGTGGCCCCGTGCGTGTGGCGCGCCGTGGCTCCCCGCCGGGGGAAAGTAAAAATGCGGGAGCGAGCCTCGCGTCAAATCCTGTCGACGCGAAACCCGAGACCCCAGGAGATCCGTGACTCTCATCGCCGGCTCCAGGATCCATTATGTTGGAGGGGCGTGAACTCCATCTCGGATTTTACAACAGCAACTAAAAAAAAATTCCAGTGGCTCACAAAAACAAAGATCCCCCCCTCCCCATATATCCTGAACAGACTGTTGGGGCAAGTGCTGTTAGCGAGTAGCACCTATGAAGGCCGGCACGGCACACAAGGGGGTGGGTGGCCAGCACCACGCCCGAACGCCTTTGTCTCCCCCGTGGCGATGTTTGCTACACACCGCACCAGGGACTCATTTGAGGCTGAGTCGACCTAGGGGAGGCCCAGGACCGGTTCTGATAATCGTCACTGGTGTTATCCGTGAGCAGAACTCGAATTCGGGTCACCGGGTTCATAGCGCAGTGCGCTAACCGCTACACTACCGCTCCCCACACACACACACACAGATACACACGCACAGATACGTACAAAGACACGTACACACAGACACGTGCACATATATATACACACACGCACAGACACGTTTACATACAAAGACACGTACACACAGACACGTACATATACACACACGCACACACAGACACGTACATATACACACACGCACACACAGACACGTACATATACACACGCACAGACACGTACACACACAAAGACACGCACACACAGACACGTACATATACACACACGCACAGACACGTACACACACAAAGACACGCACACACAGATACGTACATATACACACACACACGCACAGAGACACGTACACACACACACAGACACACGCGAAAACAAACACGAGATCATCGCCTTAAAGGGGCACGGACCCGCCGCGTCATCTGCATCTCCCGTTAGTGGTGGTGGGGAGAGCGGAAGGAGAGAGAGATAAGAGAGAGGGACAGGGAGATAAGAGAGAGAGAGAGATGAGAAGGGTAAACGATTTGACAACACGGCAGTAAATCTGAACCGCCAGAGGCAGTTTTTGCTGACTTGAAGCTCAGATTCGGTGGATCAGCTTTTTAGGTGGAGGGGGGCGTGGTCGTAAATCGTGACCCTGCGTGTGACGTCGCACCCCCGATCAGCATCACGGGGACAGCAACAACCAAATTAAGCCTCTTAAAGGACACGGGCACTGCAGGACGCGACTCTCTGAAAAGTGTTTTTTTTGGCCAATCCCTTGTTACGGGTGCGTGCATTTGGAGAGGATTACATTTTTGTGTGCGCGTGTCCTTGTTATTCTTAGCCACGTGCGAATCGCCTGCTGCCACGCGGGGCGTCCCTCGTAACAGTAAACCATCGATGCACGCGGTACCTTTATCTTGTTTTTTTTGGGGGGCCCCCATAGTTTACCGACAAAATTATTTCTCTTTCGCAGCAACTCTCAAAGGGGGCATTGTTTTGTGTTACCCCCCCCTCCCCCCCCACCCACCACCCCCCCACAAGCTCAGTCGAAGACGGCTCGCGTCTCGATGTGTGTGTGTGTTGTGTGCGTGCTCTCCAACGCTCAAATGAAAAAAAAAACCACGGTCCGTTCTACCTACGGCGTCCGCGTGGTGTTTTTCGCAACTCCAACTGGGACGCCACGCGCGTGATGAACGTATTTAGGGAACGTTTATATATTTTTTTTTTATTCACGTATATTCACATTCCGCGGTTGCGGATTTGGATGCAAGGTGACCGAGCGAACTGCAGTGATTCATATTCTTGGTTCTTTCGGCAAAGTCACGTTGGAGGGAAAAGAATAAAATAATAAAATATATATATACAAAACAATAAAATTCTCACGACGTTTTTTGACTGCAACACAAGCGGTCATCATCAGGTGTGAAAAGCAACGGCAAAGAAACATTTGAAAGAAGCGGCGGTTTGTATTTATTTATTTCTAGAGGTTCTTTGCAAGCCATCTGGCTACAATGAGAGATTCGTTCATGAGGCTATCCACATATACAAACACAGACAATTTCAACCGAGAAGATGGATTCTGGCTTAGCAATCATTGGAAGGATTTGATAAACCATTTCGGGTCTTAATTGATTGTTCACGCTTACGGTGGCTTTCAGACAGCACACATTAATTTTTCGTCTCCCACCTCCTCTTTTCCGAACATAGATGGACTCGTCCATTTAAACAAACTGTCAAATCGCTATCCGTGGTGCTAACGTTTAAAAATAAATAAATACAAACCGCCACTTCTTTCAAATGTTTCTTGCCGTTGGTTTTCTCCTCCGTCAGCTCAGGGGGTCTCTGGGGAAGATCTCCACTGCGCACCCAATGCAGCCATCACAGCTGAATCGAGCCACAGCCAGTGCCGGATTAAGCGAAGTGCGGGGCCTGTAGCATGCGATGTTATGGCCCTAAATAAAATATAAAAAAACACGTAAATATAAAAAACATATACATTTTTTACTTGCATAGTAAAGTAATTGTTTTTTTTCATTTGCTAGACAGCCCAGATAATACGCCAAATCGCTAACCTTAAACACCCAGTCGTTCATAAAAGTCGAAGGCGGTATAGTACTATAGTAATAGAGCAAGTGCAGAATCACTGAACCGGAATTGACAGCTTGAAAAGCATTTAGCGCGGGGCCCTTGAAAGTGTGGGGCCCGTAGCTACATTTGTGTAGCTACTAGACATGTAGTAGCTACACATGTGTAGCTACTACACATGTAGCTACATGTGTAGTAGCTACACATGTAGTAGCTACTACACATGTAGTAGCTACTACACACATGTAGCTACATGTGTGTAGTAGCTACACACATGTAGCTACTACACACATGTAGCTACTTGTGTAGCTACATGTGTAGCTACTACACATGTAGCTACTTGTGTGGCAAACTACACATGTAGCTACTACATATGTAGCTACTTGTGTGTAGTAGCTACATATGTGTAGCTACTACACATATGTAGCTACTTGTGTAACTACTACACATGTAGCTACATGTGTAGTAGCTACTACACATGTAGCCACTTGTGTAGCTACATGTGTGGCAAACTACACATATGTAGCTACTTGTGTAGCTACATGTGTGGCAAACTACACATATGTAGCTACTTGTGTAGCTACATGTGTGGCAAACTACACATATGTAGCTACTTGTGTAGCTACATGTGTGGCAAACTACTTGTGCGACGAGGATCATCCGGCACTGGGCACAGCTGCTACGGCTGCGTTGCGTGTACGCAGCGGTCCAGAACTCCCCAGAGACCCCCTGGCTGATGGAGATGTCCCGCCTAGTTCACACGCCCGCACGCACACAAAGACAAAGGTCCCCCGGATATCCTTGAATAGGTTGTTGGGGCAAAGTGCAGTT